TATTAAAATAAGAAAACACGTCGTGGTTCGCTATGAGAAATGCTGAATCGATGCACTTTATAAAATAGTTTTTTAATTATATTTTTTAATTAATTATTTTTGTGGATACCCTTGACAAAATTTCCGGGTCCGCCACTGTCCGACAATTGCAAGTGTTCTGGAGAAATCTGGTCAAATTGGGCAACAAGTGTACGCTGTTGCTAGGGATGTGCAACAGTTCGGTCTGAAACTCGGTAGAACCACAGTCTGATAGTAAAAGAGATCTTAGGAACAGGGATTAGAGTACCAGACCAACAACGCATTCGGTCCGCTTTGGTTCGACCGAAATATCAATTCGGACCATGTTTCTTCAATATTTATAAAATTAATGTGATCAAAGACCGAACCATATTATATTCAATCTGTGTGGTCTGATCCAAACATGGTTTGGTCCAGTGCAGTTCACTACGAACCAACCCGTTGCTAAATAGGTGTAACTGAAGATCAAAGATGCGGATGATAACGGTCAGGATCCTTGTTTGTTATCTGAGTCCACAGGCAAGCAAAGAAGTTCACGCCCGTGATTTTAGTGCTCAGGTTAAGAGAAGAAAAATGTTTCGCTATTTGAGTCACAAGCTAGAGCATGACCGTGAAGTCATGGCATTGCCAGGAAGTTAAGCGGTCATCTTTGAGAGCGGATCTGGTGACTAAGGGGGGGTGCTTAGTCACTTGGCTAAGCCCCCTCCTAGCCATTAGATCTGGACACTTCAATCCAATGGTTAAAAAGTGGGAAGGGCTATTTAATTAATGGCAGGGGTAGTTTGGGTATTATGAAAAATTACGAAGTATACAAACCGGATTTTCAATCAGTACAAACCATACAAACAGTACAAACTAGAGCGACAAAACATACAAACAGATTTATAAACATTACAAACGTATGAACTGTACAAACAATACAAACTAGACCGAAAAACAATACAAACCATACAAAAAGAAAAAACAACCGGGTTGACTTTTGAGGCTCCATCCCTATATAGAGGGGCTCATTCCCAAAGTCAACCCGGGTATTTTTTAGACATACAAACAGTACGAACATGGTGGACAAAAATGACAAACTACACCGACAATCCATACAAACGGGAAAAAACACCCGGGTTGACTTTGGAGGCTCCATCGCTATATAGAGGGGCTCCTTCCCAAAGTCAACCCGGGTGTTTTTTAGACATACTAACATTACGAACATGGTGGACAAAAATGACAAACTAGACCGACAATCCATACGAACTGGAAAAAACACCCGGGTTGACTTTGGAGGCTCCATCCCTATATAGAGGAGGTCCATCCAAAAGTCAACCAGGTTGTTTTTTAGACATAAAAAACATTACAAACATGGTTGACAAAAATAACAAAGTTTACAAACATGGTGCACAAAAATAACAAAGTTTACAAACAGTACAAAAAAAAATCCGACAAACATTACAAAATAACAAAGCATACAAAATCACAAAATATGTTAACAAACATCACAAAATCAGCACTGTCGCCGGGAAATTCTTCTCCGGCGACGATGGTCGCCGGAACAAATTTTCCGACCAGAAATCTCTCTCTCTCTCTCTGGCCAATTAATTCCCATCCCTCGCCAAAACAATTCCCATCCGCCAACCACTGGGAAATTCTCTCTCTGGGAATTATTCTTGAAATAATGGGGCATGAGAACTCTCCTGCCCAGGGGAGCCACCGCTGAACAACCGGACGGAGACGGAAGGCGGCGGGCGGGCGGGGCTGCTTAAATTTTGTATTCATTTTATAATTAAATATAAAAAATAAACATGCAATTACTACATTGCCCTTCATTAAATTGGATTAATAGGAGCCCTTGGATTTTAATGAAGTTGTGTGGCTGAGATTCACTTAGCCATGTGACTAAGGGCACCCTCCTTAGTCACCTGATCCCAGCCCGTCATCTTTAATGTTTTCATCTAATTGATTGTGTGCTAGAACTAGGGTGGAAACATATCAGGTCAGTAATCTTATGGTCAGTAACAATGAGTAACCCGTCTACATCAGCATGACATCAGTATCCCTCTATCTCCTGGAAAGTATTTTATCTTTTCCCCTTTAATCTTTAACGAACGATTTCTCTCTCGTTTTAAGTCGAAATTTAAATTTTTTTCACAGATAAATCAGATTAAATATGCTCTTTAAAATGATATCCACTTTGATATATTTGTAGTACAAAAAAATTGAATATTTTTTTACCAGTCATTACCATATGGTATGCTCCTATTTAATACCATATGGTAAGAAAGCGTACCATGATGGTATGAACATACCAATATGGTAAGAATGTTGAATACATGATAGTAGGAGTATACTAACTGTCATTTACGACTTTCATCATTGTTTACTACAAATTACCACAAGTTACCACCCACATACCATAGTTGTAAAAAATGGTAATTTTTGGTCCAGTATTTTTTCACCCAGAAATTTGTAGATCCAAGATCATGATGAACTCGTTCCTTCTGAGCAAACGTTTTCAAAAACGACTTAAAAACGAAGAAGTTACCATATGGTTTGTAGTTGGTAAAAAACAAAATTCTCGAAATATATTGAAAATTGATCTCATTTTGTAGAGCACAACGAACTTGTTCCATCTATGCAAAAAAATTGAAATCCGAGTTAGAACGAAAAAGATAAGAATCGATTAAAAAAACTAGGGAAAATAAAATTCCTTTAATTGACAACCCTTAAATCTATATTTTCTAGGTCCACTTAGATCTAAAGGTACAAATTTAGTTACTCATAGGTGAGTAACCATTGGTTACTAACCCTATCCTAAGCCAACTAGGGTGATATCAATCCCAAATACCTCATCTCTCTTAAGTTAGACTTAAGTTGCGATTCTGCTTTTCTTGTCGATTTGACATAAAATCCTACTGAACTGATCGTTCATATAGTAACAAACCTTTGAAATACAATTAGCTCTAATTACCTATGATAATGCTATAGTGTCTTTTCCAAAATCTCTTCTCTCGAGATGGTTCCTCTCTTCCTCCGATTTATGGTGGAAAAAATCCCAAAATACACATGTTTAAAAAAAAATCTCAAAATACACACGTTATAATTTTTTTCCAAAATACACATGTTTGAGCATCACTGCTGTTGTCAACCGCATTGAATGAATTCACCGCGGCAGACCAATGCGGTGAATGCATCACCGCGGTTAACGGCCGCGATGAATGCCTGACGTAACATTGAAACTTCAAACAAACGTAACTTTGTGCTCGGTTATCCGATTGTAGCGAATTTTTTTATTCCAAATAACTTTTCAAGATCTTTCAATCTGCGACAAGACTTAATCTCAAAAAAATGTTGTTTACTACCCCGAACGAGCAATTTTTCGATTTTGACAAACTTTGGAAAATCATGCTCCACAATCCGAATGTCATGAAACTTTTTTTGATTTTGCATAACTTTTGAAGTACTACAACTTTGATTATAACCATAATTTTGGAAAGTATGTGGATTTGTGATAAGTGAAGGTAAAGTTATTCCCAAAATCCAGTATACCCAAAAATACTTCTTTTTTAAAAAAATTATTTCCTAGTCAAAGTTGTAGTTCTTAAAAAGTTATTCACAATAAAAAAAAACTTTACGACGTTCGGATTGAGGAGCTAAAAGTTATGTCTTTCCAAAGTTTGGCAAAATCGAAAAATTGCTCGTTCAGGGTAACAAACGACATTTTTTTGAGATGAAGTCTTGTTGCAGATTGAAAGATCTTGAAAAGTTATATGGAATAAAAAAAAATCCCTACAATCGGATAACCGAGCGCAAAGTTACGTTTGTTTGAAATTTCAGTGTTAAGTCAGGCGTTCACCGCGGCCGTCAACCGCCGTGATGCATTCACCGCTTTGGTCTGCTGCGGTGAATGCATTCACTGCGGTTGACATCAGCGATGATTCCCAAACATGTGTATTTTATGAATTTTTTTAATAACCTGTATTTTGAGAATTTCTTTTTAAAACATGTGTATTTAGGGAATTCATCTATTTATGGCCTGGTATCTTTTCCTTTTGGATTCCTTGCGCTTTTGTCTAAAACTTAGTAACTATTTGACAGTTCAATGAAATTGTTTTTGTAATAAAAAAAGGGGATTCATCTATTTAGGGAATTCATCTATTTATGGTCTGGTATCTTTTCCTTTTGGATTCCTTGCGCTTTTGTCTAAAACTTAGTAACTATTTGACAGTTCAATGAAATTGTTTTTGTAATAAAAAAAGGGGATCGAAACGCTTGTAGCTCTCCATTTTGCGAGGGTTGGAGACGGGAAAAAAAAAACTAAGCATCCAAGTTGAGTTGTGCTGATTGTAAACACAAAGATATGATGCAAATGCACTTAAATAGAGCGCTTGTGCGTTGCTTGATTCCGATTTAGGATAGAGTTAGTAACTAAATTTGAAACTTTGAATTAAGTAAGCTCTGAAAATCTATATTCAAAGGTTGTGAATTAAATACATTTTATTTTCTCTAGTTTTTTTAACCAGCTCTTATCTTCTTTGTTCTAACTCTAATTTCATTTTTCTTTTTTGCACAGATGGAACGAGTTCGTTATGGTCTACAAAATGAGATCAATTTTCAAAAAAAAAAAAAAATCATACCTCTCATTACCAACTCCATACCATATGAAATCTCATTTGTTTTTCAAGTCGTTTTTGAAAATATTTGCACAAAAAAAATAATTTCATCATGATCTATTAGATCTACAAATTTCTGGATGAAAAAAATACAAAACCAAAAAATATCATACTATACCACCCTGGTATAAGAGTGGTAACTTGCTGTACACAATGATTAAAGTCGTAATAACAGTTATTATACTCTTACTATCATATATTCAACCATCCTATAGTCTTGGTATGTTCATACCATCAAGGTTTGCTTTCATACTATATGTTATGCTTTTATTTAATACCAATTAATACCATATGGAATAGAGTGGTAAAAAATGACTCAATTTTTTTGATTTAAAAAATATATCAAAATAGATATAATTTTGAATACCACAATTAATCTGATTTATCTATGTAAGAAAATTTAAATTCCGACTTACAATGAGAGAAATTATTCTTTAAAGATTAAGACAGGCAAGTGAAACCCAGATAAGCAAGTAGCAAATAGTTAAAAACAAACATTTCATAGCTACCATTTCTTTCTTCAGTCACAGCGTCAGGTCATTCAAACAGTATTAGCAGTGTCAGCAAGGGAACGTAGTATGCAACCCAACCCAGCTTTCTCAGTTAATTTCTCGTGTATCCGGAGGCACTGATCACATGTGGGCCGATCTCCTGTAGACAACCCTCTGTACAAGTACCTAGAAAACCACAACTGTCAGTTTGACGAGGTAGTTTAGGCAAAACCCTCAGTTGTGGTGGACAAGATCTGCCATAATCACTTAGTCAGCACCTGGGCAAGCATAGAAGTGTGCCAGGCTCTAGCTAGTTCAGCTAAATGGTCAAGTTCACAGATGTTCGGTAGCAAAAGAAGAACATGCTACACAAAGATCGTGGTTACATAACTCTTCTTCGACTTCAAGCAATCATCTTAGTCCAAATGCTGAAACTTTGTCCTACGACGAACTGACACCAATTTTCATGTGATGTTGGTCCAACAGAGTGCATAATTAGGCAAGAAAGAAATAAAGGAAGAAAGAATAAACTCTGGATAAAGCAGGCTTAATTTGTACCGCTGATGCTGCTCCAATCAAAGGAGAACTACTACTCGATCAATTAGAGTATCCAAAGTATGAAATCAACAAAATCGGACAGAAAGTGGAGATTTGGGTTAAAGCAAGCCGAATTATAACGGGTAGGCAATGCAGAACTAACAAAGAAGCAAAAGAATTCCAACCACAAGGATTGGTACAGTGGTAATATGAAATGGAGAAAGTCCAACCCAACTCACCAACAAAGAAGAAATTGATGCAACTAATCCGTTGGACAAACTATTCGCAAAGGGCTATAGTTATGATCCAAAGTTGGAAGCAAGAACCATTCCAATTAGAGCTGCTACTGTCTATGATATGGAATCCGGTATTCAAGTGTAGGACCAAGAATAACTTTTGTTAAGAGGCAACGAATCATTAAGAAAGTAAGAATGTAGTAAAGTCAGCAGAAGTCTCTTGCCTCAGGAACCAAAGAGACTACATTCACAGATATAGTAGAGCAAAAATGGAGGCAAAATAATACCGAAGGGGTGTGCAATTGTACTCACTTCATGAGGATATCGTAGTACTCAGGGTCCAAAGAGTTGAGCATCCCGTCCACGTCTTTGATCGCCATAATCGCTCTGTGAATCACTATCCAATTTGCAGACTGCACCGCGGAAACACGATTTTTGCCGAAAGAAATTCTGCTCAAATTACGATAGACAAAAGAAGAATTCAAACAATTCTGAGAGCGTCAAAATGAGGAAAACCTTGCATCGCTCGTCGCCGGTCTTCGGAGGCGATCCTTCCAGCGCCGTTTTGAGTGCTTCCACCGGCTTGTACCTGGCGCACGAGGAAGAGAAATGGAGAAATTAGGGCAGAGGGAGAAGCAGTGGAGGGTAAAGAAACGCAAACAGAACTTCTTTACTGTTTGAGTAGGCTCTCGATCTTGCGGGACTTGTGCTCGATTCTGGTGATGATTGCCTCTGCATTTTCGGCTTCCACGAACCCGTCCGCCCCAGCCATTGTTTCTCGCTTCCTCAGTCTCTGCGTCCAATTTGATTCCGGCGAGCAAATTGCGATCCGATTTATGGGGTTGAGTTGGGTGCTTAAGCCTCATTCCTTCCGTCTAGGGTGGTTTAATCGGTTCGGTTCAAACTCAATCGAAAATATGATTATCGGTATCTCAGTTCCAGTCAAAGGACAAACCAAATTATATTTTGATTCGGTCTGGTCGAAGTGAAATATATCTCGATTCGGAACAAAAAACTCGACGAACTCGAGATTTCGATTCTCATTCCTAATTTGTTTCCCCCTCTCGGTTCTCTCTGACTCTCTCTCCTTATTATCTTCTTCCTTCTCCCATTTTCTCTCTCTTCATATATTTCTCTCTGCTGTAAAAACATGTCGTCGGTCCGTCATCTCCAAGTAGTCCGCCGCCGAGCACTCTGTCGCCTAGAGCACTGAGCTCCCTCCGCCGCGGGGCTCACCTTCTCCCTAGATCAGGCTCTCTAAGCAGGCCGCTCGCCCATTTTGTATAAGAGGAAGCGGTAGCAAAAGAGAAGGCAGGAGCCGGGGGAGAGCATCCAGAGGCTCCGCCACCGCCAGGCAGATCCCGCCGCTGCTATTTCTGTCGTCTCAGTTGCCGATCCCGCCACCGCTCCTTATGGATCGCGCAACCGCCGAGATGCCACACTAGAGTTTGTTTTCCGCGATGAAGGAGCTGGGTAGTGGGTACAACGTTTGAGGATCCGTGTGATCGAGAGAGAGTGAGAGACGGTCAGTGGTGACTGGTGACAGTGGTGAGCGACGGACGAGAGGGAGAGACAAAGGGAGATATGGAATTAGGATTAGGTTATATTTGTTTGGTCTTTCTTTCTTTGAAGGAGGCTACACCCGAATTTGAGTCTCGATTGCTGGGTTTTGTTAATTTGTTGGGCTTGGGTGGAATTAAATAGGCTATGGTAAGTTGGGTCTAGAATTTCAATTTTATTGGTTCGAAATTCGGAATTCAGGTTCGATTGGCACAACCATGTATTCCGAATTAAAAGCAGTTCCTTTCTAATTTTTGATTCGAATAGTGGGAAATTCGGTTTCGATCGGTTCAGATTTGGTTTGGTTCGAAGGGTTAAACACTAATCTACACCAAATGGAAAGCGCCGATTAATAAGGAGAGAAATACTAACAATAAGAATACCTCACCTGTGACATAAGAATGGAGGACCATTACCAACAAGAAAACTAGACGAGACACTCAAGCACAGAAAGAAGCTCTTCCTAGCGTTGATAACACTTTAACATCTGGACCTAAAGCCAACATCCTCCAAACCCAATCCTTTAAGGGCCCGAATAATACCCTGATCCACGACCTACCAGTTCCTCCACGGGTCAGCAAACGGAAAGAAAACCTTGATCCCAATTCCGCCTCATCCTCCGTCCGAAAGCACTACCCAAAGAGGACTGCTAAAAAGTTGATGACGCTGGAAAAAATAGAGGAATCCATCTTTGATCGACCAAGAAACTGCATCAACTAAGTCAATCTACGAAGAGAGACTTGGCTAACAAGATGAAAGAGTCAAGCTTCCCTGTCACGCTCAAAGAGATTGAAGATTTCTGTTCTCAAGCCCGACAAAAAGCTACTGATTTCCAAGACCTGGCAAAAATGAAGGATTCGGATGTGTACATGAAAGAAATGTCAAATCCTAACCTCTCTACGTTGGCAGCTATGTCCTGGATCCTAATACTAGCTTCGCAATAGCGCAATGATTGCCGAGCTTCCTACGCTCCTTTGTTCCCTTCTCTACCCTCTTTTTTTCATGTCTAAGTTTAATATTCTCGCGTGGAATGTTCGCGGTGCAAGTAACAGAGATTTCCTTCAGACTATTTCGCACATATTGACTAATACACTCTAAAATCACATCGAAATCAAATAGGAACACAATAGAGATGTATTTGACGATGTTCAAGGTGTTATCACTTCCCCTCCCCATCTATCCCGCACCTCCCGAAGCTCACTTGGATAACCTACCCATTCTCACCTCTAACACCAATACACCCAGCAATTTCAGCACCCCCAAACATTTTGCTTTGAAGCAGCTTGGTTACTTCACAATATGTTTGCTGAGTTCTTTGCATGCAACTGGAAGAAGGACTCAAGGCTTTGATGGAGTTTTTCACAACCCTCTACACCCAAGACATCAGCCAGTATAATGATCTTATGTCGAAGAATGCTTTTCCCAGACTACTGCAAGACGAACTTCTCCTTCTCCTTAGAACTTTTACCACTTCAGACTTTCACAAAGCAATTTTTGAAATGAAACCCTTTTCAACTCCGGGGCAAGGTGGCTTTCAAGTCGTCTTTTATAAAAATAACTGTGGGCATTTGTGGAAAAAAAAACTTTCTAATATGGCTGCTGGTTTTTTCGACACGGATGTGATTTCGGAGTGGATGATGGATTCTACAATCGTGCTTATTCCCAAAAAAGACCGTATGTAGTCCCCTGCATATCTTCGCTCATCTGTCTAAACAATGTGTGTTTAAAGGCCATTAAAAAATCAATTACGAACAGATTGAAGCCGCTAATGCATAAACTTATTTCCCCAACTCAAAGAGACTTCATTCCTAGGTGACAAACGAATGCCAACATCCTGGTCTCGCAAGAAGTCCTACATAGTCTACGGAAGCAAACGGGCAAAAAGGGGGGGACTTTTCATCAAGACTGACCTAAAAAAGCTTATGACAGGCGAGGTGGAACTTCATCATGGACACGTTAAAAAAAATTGGCCTCCCTAGTTCTTGGATCAGCATGATCATGTTCTATGTAGAAAACAACCAGATGTCCATCAATCGAAATGGACAACTAACTAAACCCATCATCCCCACCAGAGAAGTCCGCCAAGAGGATCCGCTCTCGCCCTATCTTTTTGTCCTTTGCATAGAAAGACTCACACCGGATTGACCAAGTGGTTGTATAAAAAGATGGAAACCGCTTAACTTGGCTCCAGGGGGTCCTGAACTCTCTCATTTGTTTTACGGATGATCTTGTTTTGTTTATAGAAGTGGAGGACAATCACATGGAAACCATTAGACAATGTCTAGATGATTTCTGTAATAGCTCAGATAAGAAAGTTAATTTAAGAAAATCAGCCATGCTTGTCTCCCCAAATATAGCTCGATCCAAAGCTCAAGATCTCAGCACACACGCCAATATACCTCTTACGGATGATTTAGGCAAGTATCTTGGCATCCACGTCATCACTGGCAGGGTCAAGAAGTATAGGTACAAGGAAATATCATTAATGATCCAAAAGAAGCTTGCGACTTGAAAGACAAGATTTATCTCTTGTTGCTCGAATGACCATGGTGAGATCTATCGCCTCGTCAATGACTATTTCTCCCTTGTTTATCGAGCTTCTTACTACTATTGTCTATAATTCGTGGGATAAATGCAACAGGTAGTTCATCTGGGGAGAGGAAGATGGGTGATCAAAGTTCCATCCCATTGTTTGGAACAAGATGACTCTCCTGCGAGCTCTAGGTGGTGTTGGTATTAGACCGACTCGAGTGGTCGATCAAGCTATCCTAGCTAAAGGAAGTTGGAAACTGATAAACAATGATAAAACCCTTTGGACGAGAATTATGAAGAATAAGTATGCCTGCTCAAAAGAACGAATCACTATGCTGTCTGCCTCTAAAGGAAGTTTCTTTGCTTGTCATAGTTTTTGTAAAACTACAAATGTGTTAAAGAAAGGCTACGCATTTAATGTGAAGAATAGAAAGAAAACTAAGTTCTAACTTACACATGGAGCAGGTACCCTTGCTAACTCGGACCACTGATGAGGTGCCAAATGAGAGCAAAACAAGACTATAGCTGACCGGTGGGATTCGGAACATGGTTGGAAGTTGTCAGAATTTGAAGGCTGGCTTTCTCAAGAAATCGTTCAACTTATCCAAGCGGTCCTAGTAGATCAATTATCAACGAAGGAGGCTCAACTATTATGGAGACTCTCTTCAAAAGGACATTCACAGCAGCATCAGCTTTTCAAGCAAGCTACTCCCACCAAGCCAATGCGCTTTCATCGATTTGGAAAAAGATTTATAGACTGCCAGTCCCCGAGAGGCCAGAGTATACATATGGATCGCTATGCATGGGAGACTCTCTACCAATAGCATTCAAAAATTTAGAGACCTGACTGACTCTAGATGATTAGTGCCCCCAATGTCAAGATATCCGAGCATCCAACCTTCATTGCCTAAGAGATTGTGACGTGGTTGTTGCAGTTTGGACAAGAATCCTGCAAGGTCACCAGCTGCACAATTTTTTCAACTTAGACTACAATAGTTGGGTGTTGGAGAATCTCACCAACGAAGACCAAGGCAGCTAGCCGACAACATGGAATAATTACTTTTCCCTCCTCATCTGGTACTTGTGGAAGTGCAGGAATGAGGTAACCTTCAAGAATAAAGCTACGTCTCCTTCCTCACTTTACAATTATGTTACTACCAAAGCACGTGTATGGATGAAAGTCTGAGAGACAGCACCTGTTCGTGACAACTTCACCAACAATTCGAATTAACAAAAGCAACTGATAAGCTAGTTGGCCCCTGCATTTGGGTGGTTCAAAATGAACACTGACGGTGCGGCTCAAGGAAGCGCTGGGACAATCATAGCTGGCGGCTTACTCTCAGACAATTCAGGAGATTGGTATGGAGGTTTTTGCGCTAAAATGGGAGCTAGCTCACCTCTGTTAACAGAAATTTGGGTAATTTTTATGGTCTTTCGGTGGCTTGAAAAAAAGATCCAATTCCTTATTATTGAATCAGAGTCAATGCTTGCAGTTGAGTTGATTAGTAAATGCTTGGATCATGTTCACCATCACGCTATCCTATTTGAAGCAATTCGTCGGATGATGTCTCAAAATTGGGTGGTTCGTCTAACTCATACATACCGTGAGGTGATTATAGTCGCAGACAGACTCTCGAAGCAGACTCTCATCTAGCCCCTCGACTTGCAAGAGTTAGAAGAACCCCCTGTTGAGGCCGAGATGCTTATTAGGGAAGATTTCCTGGGAATTAGCTTCCCTCTCTTAATTCCCCAGACTAATAGATGATTTTCTTCCTATC